AGTAAAACCTCAGTATTCAGGTTAAATTGCCGTGTTGGCACTCTGCGATAAAGAGGTGGGTTTTGGGTCGCAGCTTGGGCACGCGGTCTCTAAAAGGTTCGCCATCACTGATCTAGTCCAACCCCCTGCTCAATACGGGACCAGCCTGAAGCTTCTCTGACAAATATACGTCCAGACTCTTCTTGAAAGCTGCCAGTGAAGGAGAGCTAATAACCACCTCCCTAAGCAGCTGATTCCACCTTTGAACCACTCTGACCGTGATAAAGTTTTTCCTAATATCCAATTGATACCTTTCTTAACTTAAACCCATTGCTTCGGGTCCTTTCCTCTGCTGCCGTCTGGAACAGCTCCTTGCCCTCCTCCAAATGACAGCCTTTCAGATATTTAAAGAGAGCAATCATGTCCCCCCTCAATCTCCTCTTCCCCAAACTAAACATTCCCAGGGCCCTCAGCCTTTCCTCCCAGGGCTCAGACCCCTGATCATCCTCGTCGCTCTTTTCTGCACCCTCTCGATTGTGCCCACATCCTTTTTGAAGTGAGGCCTCCAGAACTGCACACAGGACTCCAGGGGCGCCCTGACCAAGGCAGTATACAGAGGGGCTATGACCTGTGATTAAATGTTTTGCAGGGAGGCAGATAAGAATAAAAACATCTTAGGGTTCAGGTAGCAAAATGTCTCCTAAAAGCCCTGGAAAGGCCATTAGGCCTCGGCGGGCAGCTATTCTTCCGGTGGTGCTCTTCCCGTTGGTCTTCTCTGCTGCAGCGCTCTTCGTCGACCACCGGTCTGTCTCCCTCTGCCAGGAAGATGGATGTCTGTTCCCTGCTCTTAACTCTGTTAGCGGGGCTTTATTCCTCCGTCTGGCTTTCACCGAGTGCAAATGGGCAATTCGATCACAAGGGGGTTGTCTCTGAGCCCGGCAAGACCCGTGGGGCGGCTGGCTCGTGCGCAAGCGCCTGCCCCTCGACTCTTCATTTATTATCAGCCCGGCTTTTCACCTGGGGGGAAACCCGAATGCGTCCTTGGCCGTTCTGGGGGCAGACGTTAGCCGCTGGCCCGTAGCTAACATGGGGCCCACGGGGCCTGGCCCCCTAGTTTTTCTTCTGGGCCCCCTCCCTCCAGGGCTGCCCCCAAAGTGCTTCAACTGACCACCTGCACTGTACTTTCATTTCATTAGCTGGTGGGCCCTCCGAGGCCCCCTCCCAAAGAATTCCCTAGCCGTGTTGTGTGCAGGAAATGCCTCTCTTCTGTGCCACCAGGGGCATTAGGGACACAGCAGATTGAGATTGGGGCTGGAGGGGGAGAAGGGAGCGGACCCTGCCCCCCCCCCGTCAGCTGTTTCCGGAGGGGCCGAAAGCGCTTCCTACGGGTTCTCCAAATCCAAGGCGGATCCTCCTCTGTTTTCCCTGCAAGGCAAACCTGGGGTTGCCATAGCGACTGCCCAGATGTGCATAGTGGAGTTTTTTTGGCTCTGGGCAAATGGTCTCTTGACAACAGCATCCTCTCCCCCCCCCTTGCTCTTGTTGCTTTCCCTGCTTAGAACTGAGCTGGCTGAAGGGCCTTCTCCAATTGCCATCTTCATCTATCTCCCCTCCCCGGTCACAGAAAGTGGGTGCCCCCCTCCCCAGGGGGTCGAGGACAGCAGCTCCCCTCCGGCTGCTACAGGGCCTGACGTACACAGGCCCCCCCCCCAATTAGGTCCGCAGATTTGAATTGGCAGAAATGCGGCCTGGGAGACGCGACTCCACAGCGAATGGTTTGTGTCTTTCGCTTCTCCAAGCTGTACAGTAGAAATATACAGTCCTGGATGGATTACCCGTCTCCGGCCTTCCTTCCTGTCCCCCATCTTCGGGGGCAAAGGTCTTCTCAGTGGTGGCCCCTCAGCTGTGGCAGGCCTGGCGCTATTGTGGGACTTTGAAGGCATGTTAGGCCCAGGCTTTTTTTTAATATGTCAGCGTTCTCGGCTCCCTGTTTTGGGTTGCTCAATCGTCTTCACGGGTTTGTTGTTTGTTTTTAGTTGCTGTTGACATTTTTCTCTGAACGGTTTGTCGATTTTCCGACTTGGTTTGGCTGATTTTTTGTTGCGTGTTGCCAGGACTGTTGGGTCGGGTTGTCTCGGAAGCGAAGGGCATTGCTGTGAACTGACGCAAGCGCTTAGGAAGGGACCGCGGCTCAGTGGTAAAACGCCGGAGACCCTGGAGAGCCGCTGCCGGTCTGAACAGATGGTCTAAGGCAGCGTCATGGGTTGGTGGAGAGGCGGCCTGTAAACATTTTAGAAGAATCAAATAAATGGTGAGGTTTGCGGCGAGGTTTCCTTGAGGGATGAAGGTGCTCATCGCGGGCATGGTGTGTGTTTGTAGTATCTACAGGTAGAGCAGGTGGGAAGCAAGCAGGAATCGTCTGAAGGCAGCATCCTCTCCCCCCCAACAGGTGCACCCCAGACCTTCTCCCAAGGTGACTGCTCACCGGCTAGCTCCAAAAGTTCCACCTCCTTCTTGTTCTCCATCCACATTCAAATAGACTCTCTCCCACCCCAGGAAGGGACCGTGGCTCCGTGGCAGAGCATCTGCTTTGCAGGCGGGAAATCCCAAGTTCAATCCTCGGCGTCCCCAGATAGAAGGACCAGGCAGCCAGTGAAGGGAAAGATCTCTCTGCCTGAGACCCTGGAGAGATGCCGCCAGTCCGAGTAGACGGTACTGAGCTAGGTGGACCGATAGTCTGATCCAGGATAAAGCAGCGTCATGTTCATGTGGCCCCGCCCTGGAGAGCCCAGGCTGGACCGATCCTCTTCATGTGGCCCCTCCCTGGAGAGCTCAGGCTGGCTAAGCAGGTTCGGTCCTGGCTTAGTATTTGGAAGGGCGACCTCCAAGGAATACCAGGGTCGTGACGCGGAGGCAGGCAATGGCAAAACCGCCTCTGAAAAATCTCTTGCCTCAAAAGCAAGTTTCGCTCGCCACCTAGTGGTGCATAATGCTAAAAGAGCTAGAACCCCTGGCTGCCGGACGATCTTAGGATCTCCTCCTGCCTATACTACACACGCGGTTCATATGACACTCCCCCCCAAGGGAAGCCCAAGCCGCCCTGAGCCCGCTCTGTGGGGAGGTACGGTAAAGGTAAAGGTTCCCTTGCTCGAAAGCCAGTCGAGTCCGACTCTAGGGTTGCAGTGCGCATCTCCGTTTCCAAGCCGAAGAGGCAGCGCTGTCCCGGTCATGTGGTCATGTGGCCGGCGTGACTAAACACCAAGGCGCACGGAACGCTGTTCCCTTCCCACTGAAGCGGTACCTATTTATCTACTTGCAATTTCTTGCTTTTGAACTGCTAGGTTGGCAGGAGCTGGAACTAGAGACGGGAGCTCACTCCGTCATGCGGCACCCGGGTCTCGAACTGCTGAACTACCGACCTTCCACAGCCTGCAGTTCAGCGTCTTAACCACTTGAGCCACCGCAGCTCCTCTGTGGGGAGGGTGGGGTATGAATCTCAATAAATAAATAAATAAACAAACAAATAAACTAGTTTCGCCTCCGGCAGGTGCCTGTGTCCTCCATACCTGGTCTGGATTGATTGTTCGTGCCCAGGCCCGAGCTCTGACAATTAGGACCCAGAGTAGCAGAAAAGAGCCAGAGTCCGGGAGACCCTGAAAGACTCACAAAATCTGTGGCAGGGGAGGAGCTTTCGGGAGTCACCGCTCACTTCTTCAGAGGAAGAAGTGAGCGGTGACTCCCGGAAGCTTATACTCTTGCTCCGTTCTGCTGCCACAGACAGACTTGACAAGGCTGCCCCCCATTGTTCCCTCTAAGCTGAGTTAGTGTGAGCTAGCTCACAGTTGTTTGGCCTCCAGCTCACCCATTTTTGTCTCAGCTCAGGAGCGACGGCTCCAGAGCAAGTTCATTTCTGCAGCAGGCAAATCGCCCCCTCGCAACTTTCATGCCAGTCGCTCACAGGGTAGAATTTTTGCTCACAAGACTCCACAGCTTCGAGGGAGCCTTGCTGCCCACACCTTGATCTAGGACCAGAGTGTTACCCTCTCTCCCAAGACATTGCCCAGAGTGCTTTGCCTCCTGCAGTTCCCCACAATCATTTTAAAATTTATAACTCGGAACGGGGATTCCTGTGAGCTTGCGGCGGCTGACTTCGTGTCGGACAGTGTCCCTCTGGCACATGAGATGGGTCTGATTTCTGAAATAAAGGGTGCTTTTCCAGTGTCCCCCGTCAAGGCAGGTGGAGCGCTGAAATCCCAGGGGATGCTTAGACAGGCACTATCCTGCCCTCAACTGTGGAAGAGGCTCAAAGCTGGGGGGAGATGTTGGGGGCAATGTTCCCTCTAAGCTGTGGAGTCTTGTGAGCAAAAATGCTATTTTGTGAGCTACCGGCATTCGAGTTGTGAGCGGGCGATTTGGCTGCTGCATAAATCAGTCTCCTTTGGAGCCATCTTTCCTGAGCGGGGACAAAAATGTGTGAGCCGGAGGCTAAAGAACTGTGAGCTAGCTCACCCTAACTCGGCTTGGAGGGAACACTGGTTGGGGGGGTTCTTCCTGTTAAAGCGGTTCCTCGGGGGAACAGGCTTCCTCGGGAGAAGGAGGTGAGCTCTTCTCCTTTGGAGGTTTTTAAACAGAGGCTAGATGGCCATCTGACAGCAGTGCGGATTCTGTGAACTTGGGCAGATCTTGAGAGGGAGGGCAGGAAGGGTTGCCTTAGTTCTCGTGGCCCTTTCTGACACACCCAGGAAAATGTCAATCACCACTTTGGGGCCGGGAAGCCATTTTTCTCCAGGCCAGTTTGGCTGGGGATCCTGGAGGTTTTTTGGCCATCTTCTGGGCATGGAGCAGCGGTCACTGTGGGTGTGCAGGGGGAGGCATGTGTGAATTTCCTGCATTCTGCAGTGCAGGGGGTTGGACTAGATGACCCCGGTAGGTCCCTTCCAACTCTCTGATTCTGTGAATCTCAGGCCTTGCTCTGAACATGCCGCTCCTTTAACGACTCTCTTCTCTCCCTAGAGCTCCTGGGATCGACCAAGAGGGTGAACGTCAATTTCCAAGACACCGATGGGTGAGTATGGCAGAGTTGGGTGGGTGGGTGTCGTCAGGTTTTGCACTCCACAAGGAGTGCGTCTCCCCTGAGAACCGTTCTGGCTTCCCGAGGGCCCTCTGTGCGCTCCTTCTTGCCCACGCTGCAATTCTCCCTCTCAGCTTCCCCGGAGTCAGTGGCTCTTCAGGCCCCCTTGATGACTCCTGGCAGAGGCGGTTTCCTTCCTCTCCGCTTGGCTGAGGAAGAGCCCCACCCTGCACTTCCTCCTGCAGGTCTGCAGCTCTGCCACGGAGCCCTGCTGTTGGGCTGGTCTCCTCTTTCCCGGCCGGGAATGCCGGAGAGGAGCTCCCATGTTCCTCCTCCGTTGCGGCAGAAGTAAACAGGAGCCGCGTGGCCCCTTCGAGGCAAGCGTGACGTTTCCGTCGCTTGCCGTTCCCGTCCTCAGATGCAGGGCTTTTTTGGGGCAGGAACGCACAGGAACGGAGTTCCGGCTGGCTCCTGAGTCGGCCACGCCCAGCAGGAACTTGTTAGCATAACAGGCCACACCCAAGAGCAGGAACTCATTAGGATTGGCTACATTAGGGGTGTGTGGCCTAACATGCAAAGGAGTTCCTGCTACAAAAAAAGGCCCTGGGTTTTGACAACAAACAAGGTAAACAGAATAAGAAGCAAAAGGTGTGTGTGGCTGGATGACCACAGTTCTGGTAACATGGGTGTGTGGCCTAATATGCTAATTAGCTATGCGGTCAGGGGTGTGGCCTAATATGCTAATGATTTTCTGCTGTTGGGTGTGCCCTATTATGCTAATGAGTTCCTGCTGGGCTTTTTCTACAGAAAAAGCCCTGCTCAGATGTAGCGACCAAAGTCCGCAAAAAGATTGGTGGGGCTGAAATCTTGCTCGTCCCGCAGGTCCCTGTGGGTCCCCTGTTTGCCTTCTTTCCTGGAAGACTCTTCCCCCTCCGCACAGAATTGCTCTCTGAACTTGGGTTGCTAGCCTCCAGGTGGTCAAGTAACAAATAAACATACACTGCAAGAAACTTTTGTAAATGAATGTGTTCTGTTTATAACCATCATTCTATAAAGTGCATTGTGTGCTATTATAACATCGGAATCAGGTATATATGTTCAGTACATTCAATATAACAATAACACTCAGTTCATACAAAATACAATGCAAAATTGACTGGTAGTTGTTATATTGTATGAACTGTTTGTATGAACTGTTATACTGAATGTACTGAAAATATATACCTGATTAGGATGTTATAATAGCACACAATGCACTTTATAGAATGATTGTTATAAACAGAACACATTCATTCACAAAAGTTCCTTGCAGTGTATATTTATTCGTTACTTGACTTTCCTAGCACTGCTGCTCGGGTCGCTACAACCTCCAGGTGGGGCCTGGAGATCTTCTGCTGTTACAACCAGGGTTCCCTCTAAGCTGAGTGAGTGTGAGCCAGCTCACAGTTTTTTAGCCTCCGGCTTGCATGTTTTTGTCTCAGCTCAGGAAGGACGGCTCCCGAGCAGACTTAATTTGTGCAGGAGCCAAATGGCAGGAGCCAAATGTGTGCAGTGGCTCACAAAGTAGGAATTTTTGCTCACAAGACTCCACAGATTGAACTGATCTCCAAGCGACAGAGATACGTTCGCCTGGGGAAAAGTGGCTGCTTTGGAAGGTGGACTCTGTGGCATTGTACTCCACCGAAGTCCCTCCCCTCCCCAGACCCCGCCTCCTCAGGCTCCACCCCCAAAATCTCCAGGTATTTCCCAGCCTGGAACTGGGACACCCCTACACTGAACAATTGTGATGTGTGTGGACAGATTTTTTTTATGTGTTGCTTTACATTCATGTAGCAGCCCCTGTGCCCGAGGGGACAATGCTTTCTCATTCCTCCTCCCCCTGTGAGAGCCAGTTTGGTGTTGTGGTTAGGAGTGTGGTCTCTAATCTGGGAGCGCTGGGTTCAGCCCCGTAGCTAGGGAACTTTTTGGGAGGGGGCCTTCGGGGGGGCGCCAGGTAATTAAATCGAAGCACAATGCAGGTGGCATGTCAGGGCACTTTGGGGGCAGCCCAGGAAGGAGGGGCCCCAGAAGAAATACTAGGGGGCCAGGCCCCGTGGGCCTCTTGTTAGCTACAGGCCAGGCTGGGTTTGATTCCCCACTCCCCCACATGCAGCTGCCGGTGTGACCTTGGGTCAGTCACAAGTCCTCTCAGAGCTGTTCTCTCAAGGGCAGTCCTCAGAAGAGCTCTCTCAGCCCCACCTGCCTCACAGGGTGGTCGTTGTGGGGAGGGGAAGGGAAAGGAGATTGAGAGCTGCTCTGAGACTCCTTTGGGTAGTGAAGGGCAGGGTAGAAATCCATCCTCTTCTTCTGTGAGCACCGGGGCAGCTTTGTATGGAGCGCACGATCTGTCTACCTCGGGGCCACTGGAGAGAGGAACCAAATGCAGGTTGCAGTTGCTGTGTAGGCCTCCAGTTCGCTGCAGCGCCCCCTTGGGCTACTTCCATTGCTATGCACTGGCGTCGGTGGGGAGAGGAGGTGAAAACTGGCCCTTGCTGTGCCCCACATGGCTTCAGGGTTTTTTTGGGTGCTGCGCATGTCCTTGGCCAGATTCGATCCTTTCCTGCTTGGAATGCGGTCCCTTCCTGTGATGTCACCAGGGCTATTTTTGGGCAGGAACGGAGTTCCGGCTGGCTCCCAAGTTGGCCACACCCAGCAGGAACACATTAGCATAACAGGCCACACCCAGCAGTAGAAACTCATTAGGATTGGCTACATTAGGGGTGTGTGGCCTAACATGCAAAGGAGTTCCTGCAACAAAAAAGGCCCAGGGTTTTGACAACAAACAAGGTAAACAGAATAAGAAGCAA